TTCTGCAAAAGACAGTATTTCAGGCTGAGAGCGGTGGCTCCCTCCTGTAATCCCAGAACTTTGGGAGGCTGAGGCAGGTGGATCATCTGAGGTCAGGAGTTCCAGATAGCCTGGCCGACATAGTGAAACCCCATCTCTACTAAAAAAACAGAAAATTAGCTGGGTGTGGTGGCACATGCCTGCAATCCCAGCTACTTGGGAGGCTGAGGCAGGAGAATCGCTTGAACTCAGAAGGTGGAGGTTGCAGTGAACCAAGATTACACCTTTGCACTCCAGCCTGGGCAACAAGAGCAAAACTTTGTTTCAGAAAAAAAAAAAAAAACAAAAAAGAAGACAGTATTTTCTGACTGAGTGGTATTCCACAGAATATATATACCACCTTTTCTTATTCCATTCATTGGTTTGTTGATGGGCACTTTGGTTGATTCCATATCTTTGCAGTTGTGAATTGTGTTGGGATAAACATGGGCATGCAGGTGTCTTTTTGATATGCAGTAGAGGAATTGCTGGATTGAATGGTAGATTTACTTTTAGTTCTTTGAGGATTCTCCACACTTTTCCACAGAGGTTGTACTAATTTACATTCCCACAAGCAGTGTATAAACATTCCCTTTTCACCACATCATTTTCATTATCTTGATTCTTCTAATCCATGAACATGAGATATATTTCCATTTGTTGGGGTCATCTATGATTTATTTCAGCAGTGTTCTGTAGTTCTTTTGTTAGGATCTCTCACTTCCTTGGTTAAATATATTCCTATTTTATTTTTTTTAAATCAGGTATTGTAAAAGGGATTGAGTTCTTCTAGGAAAGAACTCAATAGGGAAAAGACACCCTATTAAATAGTTTAGGCATTGAATCCTTTTCTAAAACTCATCTCTAGCTCTCAAGGAACTAGAGATTCAAGAATAAACCAAACCCAAAGGTAACAAGAAAATTCTTTTCCTTGAGTTCTTGATTTGTTCTCAGCTTGATCATTGTTGCTGTATAGCAGTGGTACTGATTTGTGTACACTGATTTTGTAATTCATTTATCAAATCTAGGAGTCTTTTGGAGTTTTCTAGGTATACAATCAGATCAACAGCAAAGAGAGATAGTCTGACTTTCTGTTTTCCAATTTGGATACCCCTTATTTCTTTCTCTTGCCTGATGGATCTGGTTAGCACTTTTAGTACAATTGAGTTGGAGTAGAAGAGTATAATTGAGGAGAGTTGAGTAGAGTAGAAGTGAAAGTGGGCATTCGTGTCTTGTTTCAGCTCTCAGGGGAAATGCTTTCAACTCTTCCCCATTCGGTATGATGTTGGCTGTGGGTTTATCATATATGGCTTTATCTTTTAATTTTTATTATTATTTTTTTGAGATGGAGTTTTGCTCTTGTTGCCTAGGCTGGAGTGCAATGGTGCGATATCAGCTCATTCCACAACCTCTGCCTCCTGGGTTCAAGCAATTCTGCCTCAGCATCCAGAGTAGCTGGGATTACACGCATGTACTACCATGCCTGGCTAATTTTGTATTTTTAGTAGAGATGGGGGTTTCTCCATGTTGGTCAGGCTGGTCTGGAACTCCTGACTTCTGGTGATCTGCCCACCTTGGCCTTCCAAAGTGCTAGGATTACAGGCATAAGCCACTGTGTCCGGCACATCTATGGCATTTATTATTTTGCAGTATGTTCCTTCTATGCCTAGTTTGTTGCGGGTTTTTATCAAAAAGGAATGCTGGATTTTTTTTTTTTTTTAGATGAAATCTCACTCTGTCACCAGGCTGGAGTTCAGTGGCACCATCTCAGCTTACTGCAACCTCCATCTCTTGGGTTCAAGCGATTCTCCTGCCTCAGCCTCCTGAGTAGCTGGGATTACAGGTGCATGCCACTATGCCCAGGTAATTTTTGTGTTTTCAGTAGAGACAGGGTTTCACCATGTTGGCCAGGATGGTCTTGACTTCTTGACCTTGTGATCCACCTGCCTTGACCTCCCAAAGTGCTGGGATTACAGGCATGAGCCACCACGCCTGGCCAGGTGTTGGATTTTATAAAATGCTTTTTCTGCATCTTCTGAGATAATTGTATGGTTTTTGTTTTTAGTTCTGTTTATGCGGTGAATCACATTTATTGACTTGTGTATGTTGAACCATCCCAGCATCCCTGGGATGACACCCACTTGGTCATGAAGAATTATCTTTCTGATGTGCTGTTAGATTCAGTTTGCTATATGTTGTTGAGGATTTTTGCATCTAGTTTCATCAGGGACATTTGTATATAGATTTCTTTTTTTGTTATGTCCTTTCCTGGCTTCATAGAATGAGTTAGGGAGGATTCCTTTTTTCACAATCTTTTGGAATTGGTTCAGCAGAATTGGTATCAATTTTTCTTTGAATGTCTGCTAGAATTTGGCTGTGAATCCTCTGGCCTGGGTTTTTTTTTTTGTTGTTGTTGTTGTTTTTGCAATCTCACTGTTTGTTATTGGTCTGTTCAGGATTTCTATTTCTTTCTCATTCAAGGGGTTGTATAGTTCCAGGAATTTATCTATTGCCCCTATCTTTTCTAGTTTGTGTGCATAGAAGTGTTCATAGTAGTCTCAAATGATCTTTTGTATTTCCATGGTGTTGGTTGTAATGTCTCCATTTTCATTTCTAATTGAACTTATTTGAATCATTTATCTTCTTGGTTAATCTAGCTAATGGAATATCGATTTTGTTTATCTTTTCAAGGGACCACCTTTTTGTTTCATTGATCTTTTGTATTTTTCTTTTAATTTCATTTAGTTCTGCTGTGATCTTTGCTATCTCTTCTCTTCTATTAGCTTCGGGTTTGGCTTCTTATTATTATTATTTTATTTTATTTTTTTATTTTTTTGAGATGGAGTTTCACTCTGTTGCCCAGGCTGGAGTGCAATGGCGTGATCTCAATTCACTGCAACCACTACCACCTGGGTTCAAGAGATTCTCCTGCCTCAGCCTCCCCAGTAGCTGGGATTACAGGCATGCGCCACTATGCCTGGCTAATTTTGTATTTTTAGTAGAGATGGGGTTTCTCCATGTTGGTCAGGCTGCTCTCAAACTCCTGACCTCAGATGATCTGCCCATCTTGGCCTCCCAAAGTGCTGGGATTACAGGTGTGGGCCACTGTGCCTGGCTGGTTTATTCTCGTAGTTCCTGAAGGTATGATGTTGTCAATTTGTGAGCTTTCAGACTTTTTGATGTAGGCATTTAGCACTAAAAACTTTCCTCTTAGAACTGTTTTTTGCCGTATCCCAAAGGTTTTGATAACTTGTGTAACTATTATCATTCATTTCAAATAATTTTATTTTGAGACAAGGTCTCACTTCATCGCCCACATCCACCTTTCCTATTTTCTTCTTCTTCTTCTTTTTTTCTTTTTTTTTTGAGATAGAGTTTCACTCTTCTCGCCCATGCCAAGAATGCAATGGCATGATCTTGCTCACTGCAACCTCTGCCTCTTGGGTTAGAATGATTCTCCTGCCTCAGCCTCTTGAGAAGCTGGAATTACAGGCCCATGCCATAATGCCCAGCTACTTTATATATATATATTTGAGACATAGTCTTGCTCTGCTGCCCAGGCTGGAGTGCAGTGGCATGATCTTGGCTCACTTCATCATCTGCCTCCTGTGTTCAAGCAATTCTCCAGCCTCAGCCTCCTGAGTATCTGGGATTAAAGCCGCACACCACCATGCCCAGATAGCTTTTGTATTTATAGTAGAGATGGGGTTTTACCATGCTGGTCATGCTGGTCTGGAACTCCTAACCTCAAGTGATCTGCCCACCATGGCCTCCCAAAATGCTGGAATTATAGGTATGAGCTACTGTACCCAAGCCCTGGCTTCAAGTGATCTCCCCATCTTGGCCTCCAAAAGTATTGGGATTACACTGTGCCCAGCCTCTGTCTCTCTCTCTCTCTCTTTTTTTGGATGGAGTGCAGTGTTGCCCAGGCTGGAGTGCAATGGCACAATCTTGGCTCACCACAACCTCCATCTCCCCAGTTCAAGCAATTCTCCTGCCTTGGCCTCCTAAGTAGCTGGGACTACGGGCATGCACCACCATGCCTGGCTAATTTTTGTATTTTTAATACAGACGGGGTTTCACTATGTTGGCCATGCTACTCTCGAACTCCTGAACTCATGATCTGTGGACTTTGGCCTCCTAAAGTGCTGGGATTACTGGCAAGAGCCACTGTGCCCAGCCTTTTTTTCTTTTCTTTTCTTTTTTTTTTTTTTTAAGATGGAGTCTCTCCCCATTACCCAGGCTGGAGTATAGTAGTGTGATCTCAGCTTACTGCAACCTTTGCCTCCTGGGTTCAAGCTATTCTCTTGCCCCAGCCTCCCAAGTAGCTGAGATTACCGGCACCTGGTATCATGCCCAGCCAATTTTTGGTAGAGATGGGGTTTCACCATGTTGACCAGGCTGGTCTCAAACTCCTGATCTCAGGTGATCTGCCTGCCTCAGGCTCCTAAAGTGCTGGGATTACAGGCATGAGCCACTGCATATGGCCAAAAAATTAAAAAATTTTAAAAAGAAAAAGTTTCAGGCTGGGCGAGGAGCAGGAAAAAAAAAGTTTCAGGCTGATGGGGAGTCCTTGAGCACAGTTGCCCATTAGAAGAATCCTGCATCTTACAGGAATGCGCCTTCCTAATATCTTGCTATGCTCAGTCATGGGCTAGGAACAGCTCATTGGAAGTGTCAACACAGCAGTGGATTCAGAGCTCAGCAGCTTCTCCCTGAAGGAGGAGAACTGAGAGGCTATTTTCACAGCCTTTATATTATTTTTAGGGCTGCATAATAATTAATTGATGGAAGTATCATACTTTATTTATTCAGTCCCCTCCCAATGAACATTATTGTTATTTCAAGTCCTTTCCTATTACAAATAAGGCTTACTGAATAACTTTGTTTTACATCATCTTGCATATTTGGAGAGAGTACCACAACTTGGGCTCCTGGGGAAGCGGACTCTGAGATGAAGATGAACATATAATTTTTTTTAACTTTATTAAAATACTGAGTTTTATTTCACATGTATATTTTTGTCTCCCCACCATTTCCATGTCTGACCACCGCTACTACTATGTCCTATCATAACGTTCCATACATACTTAAAACCAAGCAAGGGGTGGAATTCTATCTTTAAAAACTATAGGCATTTTGGACAACACATTCTTGGCAATGGAACCTGGACAATATTTATCAAACACGGTAGGGAAAGTTCTCTCTCTACATTATAAAAAGGACAGCCAGATATCAACTGTTAGAGAAATGAAATAAGACAGAAAACTTTTAACAAATCGTTTAAACTATTTTCTTAAAGAGACTTCCTCCACTGCCAGAGATCTTGAATAGCCTGGTCAGTAATCCGGAAGCAATTCTTTACATAATTGATGAACCTGGCTTCCACTTTGAGAAGAGAACCACCTTTTTCTATACTTGCTTGCATTTTTGCTTTAATGTATTGTACAGAACTAGGTCCTTTTGGTGTTTTAGGAGTTTTTTCCTGTTTTTGTGAAGGATTTTTGTTCTTTTGATCGTGGTGTTGATGATGGTTTTGAGTCTTTTCCATTCTGATTTGACTTTTGTGCATTTTTAGCTGGAGTACTGCATATAGATTTCTTCACTGGTAGTTTTTCTTCAGTTTCCTCATCATCAAAATCATCATCATCATCTTCTTCATCAGCAGCAAGTTTTACTTTTTTCTGTGGAATCTTGCTACCACCTCCAGGGGCAGACCGCTTTCCAGATATACTTAAGAGTTTCACATCCTCCTCCTCTTCGTCTTCTGACTCTGCATCTTCCTCCACAGCTACTAAGTGGTGTCCACTAGTATGTACTGACCCTGAACCACACTTCAAATGTAAGACCACTGGTGGTGTTATTTCAAAGCCCCCAAGGGAAATCGTAGGCTGTACAGACATTTTCAAAGTTGCCAGTGTTACTTTAATTGGACTGCCTTCGTAATTCATTGCCTTTGCTTCAACAATGTGCAATTCATCCTTTGCACCAGCCCCTAAACTGATCATTCTTAAAGATAACTGGTGCTCGTTTTCATCATTATCCACCTTGAAGTGATCATCTTTGTCGGCCTTTAGTTCACAACCAAAAAGATAGTTCTGGGGCCTCAGGGGGCTCATGTCCATGTCCATCGAATCTTCCATCCGGTGGTGGAACGCACTTAGGTAGAAGAGAAGGCGGGCAGAGATAAACGACCACTGCTCAAAAGAACAGCCGTGCAGGATGGAATCACACCAGGATAATCAGTTTATTAGGGTGTGTCCTTTGGTTCAATATCTACTGAAGGGAAAGGAGGAAGGCAGGATTGGGGAGACTGAGAAATTGGTCTGCAACTTAATGATGGGCTCAATTAACCCCACAGGTCATTTGTAACCTAGTATCCCGTTTTTAAGCTTTGTTTGTTTTTTCCCCTCTTTTCCTTCTTTGGCCCTTTGTATTACTTTTCAGTAATGAAATAGTAACCTTTATACTCCTTCTTTCCACTAGGTACCCTTCACACTTATTTCATACTAGTGTATTTACTATGTTTGCTTAAAAGTTCCAGAGACTAAATCTTGAAACAATACAGGCTTGGCCGGGCGCGGTGGCTCACGCCTATAATCCCAGCACTTTGGGAGGCCAAGGCGGGTGGATCACGAGGTCAAGAGATCGAGACCATCCTGGTCAATGAGGTGAAACCCGTCTCTACTAAAAATACAAAAATTAGCTGGGCATGGTGGCACATGCCTGTAATCCCAGCTACTCAGGAGGCTGAGGCAGAAGAATTGTCTGAACCGAGGAGGCGGAGGTTGCAGTGAGCCGAGATTGTGCCATTGCACTCCAGTCTGGGTAACAATAGCGAAACTCCATCTCAAAAAAATAAAATAAAATAAAATACAGGCAACTATGGAAATCGCCCCCACCAGGAAATTGCTTCATGGCTACTGGAGCCTAAGATGGCGCCTACCCATTCACCAGATAGAGAAATAACTCAAGTCAAGTCATGGGAACAAGTCACACTGACCTGCACTGCCTCTGACCCCTTGCATACCCTCCATGCCAAAACCTTCCCTTCCTAAACCCTTGCATTTCACTTGGAAATTTGAAGTGGTTTCACTGAGACAATAACCTGGATTGTATTCCCCACTGCTGGCTTTGGTTTATAATAAAGTCACTCACCTTCTACCATATCTTGATCTTGCTAATTTGTTTTTGTTTTTGAGATAGGGTCTTGCTCTATCTCCCAGGCTGGAGTACATTGATGCAATTATGGATCACTGCAGCCTGGACTTCCTGGGCTCAATTGATCCTCTTGCCTCGGCCTCCCAAGTAGCTGAATTACAGATGCATGCCATGCCTAGGGAATTTTTCTATTATTTGTAGACATGGAGTATCACTATATTGCCTAGGCTAGTCTCAAACTCCTGGGTTCAAGCAATCCTTCTGCCTTGGCCTCCCAAAGTGTTGATTACAGGTGTGAGCCACAGTGCCTGGCCAATCTTGTTGATTGGTTTTGCAAGCAGCAAGTGGCCAAACCCACATTTGGTAACAATTTCAGTCCAGAAATGGGGTGAGAAATCTGGGGTTTTATACCCTGCAGTGATCAGTCATTGGATATAGGTTGCTTTAGGGAAATGGCATGACCTTAGGTGAGGTGCCACTTTAGCCAGGCAATTCCTGAAGAGGGCTGACAGCTGAAAGGTGTCTATAGCAACACTCCCAGCAACATCTTGGGAGAATAATTTCTTCCTCCCCTTCCCCTTCCTTTCCCCCTTCTCTTCTCTCTTTCCCTTCTTTCTCCCCCCTTCCTGCTTTTTTCCTTCTTTTGGAGTCTTGCTATGTTGCTCAGGGTGGTCTTGAACATCCAGTCTCAAGCAATCCTCCTGCCTCAGCCTACCAAAGTGTTAGGATTATAGACATGAGCCACCCTGCCTGGCCTGAGAATACATTTTTCAGTCTTGAAGAGGGATCTGGGAGGCAAGTCATGGCACAAGGGGCATAATAGTAGAATAAATTCCTAGATGGTCTAGTAGGATAATAGGATAAATTCTTAGATGCTGGGTCTTAGCATATCTACATTTGTGAATTTAAAAGGTGTTGTCAAAATAAAAATATAATATACTGTGTATATTTTTCCAATATATACTTCCATAGGCAATGCAGAAAAATATCTGTTTCCTCTTGCCCTTGGCCAAGATGTTCTCAATCTCCTGACCTTGTGATCTATCCGCCTCAGCCTCCCAAAGGGCTGGGATTACAGGTGTTATCCACCGTGCCCGGGCCACTTTTCCACTTCCTATTTACCCCCCAAGTACATATTCTTTAAACCCTGACTCTGCAATTTACTAGCTGACTCAGTGTGTTTACATGTGAAATGGGAAAAATAGAACATGTTGGGTCTCAGAAAACAATACTCCAAAATATAGCACTTTGGCATGGTGAACTAAAGCAGCCTCCAGCTGCTGCCTCCCTGCCGCCACCATTTCTCAATCCTCTGTCACTGTAATCTCAGTAGCTGGGATTACAGGCAAGCACCACCATGCCCTGATAATTTGTGTATTTTTAGTAGAGATAGGGTTTCAGGATGTTGGCCAGGCTGGTCTCGAACTCCTGACCCCAAGTGATCAGCTCACCTCGGCCTCCCAAAGTGCTGGGATTACAAGTGTGAGCCACTACACTTGGACCATTTAGTTTCTAATGAGAATCATTTACTAACCATTTTGTGAGCATTGGCCCACTCATTTCGCCTAAAAACTATTTACTACCTCTCAAAATTGTCGCATTTTCCCCATCTTCCTCTCTCCAATGAAGAAAGGTATTTTGAACCTGATTTGATTGTTGGGTAATCATTCTCCAGCAATTCTCCTTGTTTAGGCTCATAAGACAAATTTATATAGCCTTTTCTCCTATTAATCTGCCTACTGTCAGTACATTTTCAGGAAACCTTCAGAGGGCAGAGAAGCTTTCCCTCCACCCCTACAACATACCTTATACAAATATTTTGTCGCCAGGCACAGTGGCTCATGCTTGTAATCCCAGCACTTTGGGAGCACGAGGCAGGAGGATGCCAAGGTCAGGAGTTTGAGACCAGACTGACCAACATGGTGACATCCCATCTCTACTAAAAATACAAAAATTAGCTGGGTGTGGTGGTGGGCACCTGTAAACCCAGCTACTGAGGAGGCCGAAGCAGGAGAATTGCTTGAACTCAGGAGGTGGGGGTTGCAGTGAGCCAAGACCGTGCCACTGCACTCCAGCCTGAATGACAAAGTGAGACTCCATCTCAAAAAAAAAAAAAAAAAAAAAAAAAAAATTGGGAGTTTGATGACATAAAAATGCAAAACCCCATATTTATAAATAGCAGGCAACTAAAAATATTCTCCATATCTTACCATCATACACTGATGACTTCTAAATTTGTACATTTAGGCCAAATTTCTTATTGGCAAGTAAAAATATTCATCTGTTTACTGGTTATGTTACTGTAAAGAGGTTGCGATCCAAACCCCCAGAGAAGGTTCTTGGAGCTCACTCAAGAAAGAACTTGGGCAGGGCGTGGTGGCGCATGCCTGTAGTCCCAGCTACTCAGGAGGCTGGAGGATCTCTTGTGTCCAGGGGTTCTGGGCTGTAGTGTGCTATGCCAATCGGGTGTCTGCACTAAGTTCGGCATCAATATGGTGACTTCCCAAGAGTGGGGGACTACCAGGTTGCCTAAGGAGGGGTGAACCGGCCCAGGTCAGAAATGGAACAGGTCAAAACTCCCGTGCTGATCAGTAGTGGGATTGCACCTGTGAATAGCCACTGCACTCCAGCCTGGGCAATATAGCGAGACCCTGTCTTAAAAAAAAGAAAGAAAGAAAGAATTTGGGGCAGGATGTGGTGGCTCACGCCTGTAATCCCAGCATTTTGGGAGGCTGAGGCAGACAGATCACTTGAAGTCGGGGGTTCAAGACCAGCCTGACCAACATGGAGAAACCCTGTGTCTACCAAATAGATAAAAGTTAGCCAGGTGTGGTGGGGTGTGTATGTAATCCCAGCTTCTTGGGAGGCTGAGGCAGGAGAATTGCTTGAACCCGGGAGACAGAGGTTGCAGTGAGCTGAGATTACACCATTGTACTCCAGCCTGGGCAACAAGAGTGAAACTCCACTTCAAAAAAAGAAAAAATTTGGGTGAGTCCATAAAGTGAAAGCAAGTTTACTGGAGAAGTAAACAAAAGAATGGTTGCTCCATAGGCAGAACAGAGATATGGGCTGCTCCACTGAGTATACTTATAGTTATTTCTTGATTACGTGATAAACAAGGGGTGGATTATTCACAAGTTGTCTGGGAAAGAGGTGAGGATTTCCTGGAAGAGCTCCTCCCCTTTTTAAACTTTATAGGGTAACTTCTGAAGTTACCATGGCATTTGTAAACCATCATTGCGCTGGTGGGAGTGTCTTTTAGCATGCTAATACATTATAACTAACATACAATGGGCAGCCAGGAGTGCAGAGGTCAGTGAGTAGACCAGAGGTCGGCATCCTGGTTTTGGTGGGTTTTGGCCAGCTTCTTTATTGCATCTGGTTTTATCAGTGGAGTCTTTGTGATCTGTATCTTATGCTGGCTTCCTATCTCATCCTGTGACTAAGAATGCCTAACCTCCTGGGAATGCAGCCTAGCAGGTATCAGCCTTATTCTACCCTATTCAAGATGGAGTTGCTGTAGTTCAAATACCTGACAGTTATTTCTATCCTGATGCCCCTGTAGGCACTTTGAATTCAATATGCCCCAGCCAAGCTTATCTTTCTCTCAAAAATTGCTCCCATCCCTGAGTTTCCTAACTTTCCAATATTTCTACCTTATTGAGGTAAAATTTCTCAAAGTTATCTTGGATTCTTCCCTCTCTTTTAATCCAACATTTAATTAGTAATTACTAAGTCCTGTTAAATTTTATTCCTAAATAATTCTAGCATGTGCCTTTTTTCTCATAGTCAGCACTGTTCTTCTGTGGTTCAGATCCTTGTTTCCACCATACTATTGCAATAGCTTCTTTACTAGTCTCGCTTTCCTCTAATTGATCCTAAACACTTTTGTCACAGAATTTGTTTAATACACAAGGCTTATTATAGTTCTCCTTAGCTCAAAAGTCTTGAATAGCTCCCTCCCTCTAGTTTTCCAGCTTCTTTCTAAACCTAGCAGGCAATTCACTATTAACTTTCTTTATCTACCACTTCCTGTAGAATTGAGCTTTCCCAGCCAGGTGTGGTGGCTTGCGCCTGTAATCCCAGCACTTTGGGAGGCTGAGGCAGGTGGATCACAAGATCAGGAGTTTGAGACCAGCCTAGCCAATATGGTGAAACTCCCATCTCTACTAATAATAAAAAAAATTGCTGGCCGTGGTAGCGGGCACCTGTAGTCCCAGCTACTCGGGAGGCTGAGGCAGGAGAATCACTTGAACCCAGGAGGCGGAGGTTGCAGTGAGCCCACATCACGCCATTGCACTACACAGCCTGGGCAACAGCGCAAGACTCTGTCTTAAAAAAAAAAAAAAAATTGACCTTTCCCATCTTTGTTCTCCTAATGAATGTGTTATGTCCTATCCTAGCACGAATCCTGTTTAAGTGTGTATCCCAAGCACTTGGGACACTAGGCCCACCACTACAGGGGAGGAAACCCTTCTAGATGCTTCAATATCTTGAAGAATCACAGTTAACTGATATGAGTCAAGTTACCAGAAGAAAAACAATTTTAATTACATATGTTTGCACAAGAGTCCCACAAAATGTGGGACTCAAAGAAGGGCCAGATGTTTGACACTTACATTACATCCTGACCTCAGGAAGTGGGACCCTGCATGGTGGCACAAACCTGTAATGCCTGCTACTCAGGAGTTTGAGGCAGGAGGATCCTTGAGCCCAGGAGCTGGAGGCCAGCCTGGGCAACAAGGCAAGGCCAGTCTCTCTTCAAAATAAAAGTAAGGCTTGGGGCTTTCAGGGGTGGTGGAGACAAGTTAAGGGAGAATAAGATGAGAAAATAGAAGGTGAATAAAGGTTGACGTTTATGCAGATAAAAGTACTCCAGATGATAAAAGTAAACTAGGAGCAGCTCTCTTTCTGGTACAGATTCCTTTAATTATGAAAATTTCCTTTAGAAATGTAAATTTCTCTTCACAAAAGGAGAGTTTTGTCCTTTATTTTGGGCAGTAGAGGGAAAAGTG